GGTAGAATAGTCCTTAGGACTCACGACCAAACCACGGCCCTTCTTAGCACCCTTGTAAACCGTCTCGATAATGTCGATTAGCTCTTGCTTGTCCTCGAGGACAAAGTTGAGCTTATTGTTGTTTCCCGTTCCTAAATCGCATAGCATGTGCTTGTTTCGGTAGAAAAACATGATTGTGCAGGGGTCATATAATTCTGTATAGAGCCATCTCATTAGCACTCAACTGTAAAAAGCAGCTCGATTTGGGCGGGGATGGCTGGCTGGCTGGCTGGCTACCTACCATACATCTGGTTAAAGTCGGGAACCTGATCGATATCGCAGACGTAGATGACGCAGAAGTTCTTCACCTTGTCTGCAATGCGGTATAGGACTTCATCTTGTCGCATGCACTCGGGGTCATGATCCCGGCCAAAACGGATTGCTGTTGCGAAGAAGGGTATAGAGTTAGCATTTTGTTCTACTGATTCCCTGCGCCTTTGAGGAATATGCTTTGCTCACCAACGACACGTTCCGTTTCCGAGAGGATGGCTTGGTCGACATGCCAGCCAGTGTTCAAGTGCGGTAGCACGATGGATCCCATCTTGAAAGAGACTAAGGCAGAACCACACAGAATTACGATATCGTCGAAGTTGCTTGGTGGTAATTTGGAAATGGTTGCTGATCTTATGAAATGAATAGGCGTGGATGTTTACGAAATGCGGCGATGACATCAATTGGTTTAGATACGTAGGACCTTCTAGAAAGTTAGGAGGAATCTAAGGTAGATATCGGGAAATTCGCGGCTGAATATAAGGTGTAAAATTTATTATCGATAACTTGAATGTTTATGTAACTATGTAGGTAGTGTCTGATAAATGCAATGATGGTATATATACCTAATATATATACCATCATTGCATTAGGGTACTCGACGTAATTTTATTTCGCAATTAATCGTCATCACCATCTTTTCTTTTCTCCTCATTCAAATAACCATATAAAATCGGTATATATGACTACATAAATACTTACTAATCTATATAGGCTAATGTATCATCACATTGTTGAACGAGAGTGTCTTCATCTCTAATAAAACAACTTTCCTCCCGCCAATGCGACGAGCTCGGGGAAGACAGGCGTTCCGAGTCCGGTAACCGGATCCCATCCCTCAGTTGCCGGGAATCCGTCTACACCGCACCCGACAGCACTACCGCTTGTGATGTCAGTCAGCCCCTTGTACCCCTTTGAGTACAGCCACGGGTTCAAGAAACCTAGCGGTGGCTTGCCCGTCGAGATGAGCGCGTCGTTCACCAACGAGATGATTCCACCCGTCAGGGGGCAACTGGCACTCGTCCCGCTGATCGTGCCCTCAGTACCGTTCCAGAAATACGCAAAATAGAGTCCTTGCGCCGAGATATCCGGGTAGCCGCGGCCCTTCTTGTTATACAGACCGTCATACAGGCCGTTCAGGTTCGCGACGTAGCTGCTGGCCTGCTTCGTCTGGTACGCCGGCGCCGCGAAGTAACTGCTGAATCCGCCGCCACTCGTGTAGTTGCCATGCGCGACACCATCAGGCCCAACAAAGGCGGGTCGGTTCGCCACTACTTCCGGCTCGAAGTTCATCGTAGCACCGACCGCCGTCACGTAAGGACAGGAAGGCGGGAACTCGGCAAGAAATTTGGTCGTGTTCTTTCCGTCGTTGCTCAGGCATTCTCCGTACGATCCAACGCCGTTGTCGCCGCTCGAGAAGAGCAATGAGGTGCCACGCGCGCCCACTTGGGCGAACTGCTCGCAGACCCGACGAGCGTACGACTCTGGGACTGTCTGTTCATCATCGGCATACGAGGTCGCTACAGTAAGTTAGTCACCTGCACAAAATCATAGATCGCCATTCTACCGGGTGCGGTTTTTTGGCAACGAAAATCAGGTAGAGCAAACATCACATACTACAATCATATTAGCATCCATCGTGAGCGAATTTTCAATGAAGAGCACAAGACATTTCAGGCATACCTAATGACCTGTGGGAAAGACTCTTGGGCCAGGATATAATTCAGCCACACCAAGTACGGCTCGTTGGTGTTGTCGGGCGTGCTCACGGACGGGATGAAAGGAGGACTTCCGCCGGTTGAGTAACTAATGATTGGGGCTATCCCGGATACATGTTAGTATAAACTTGTCTCATAATGGGCAATATATTTTGGAAGGCCTTGTTCGCGACTCTGGAGGGAAACCCTCTGCACTGAGTCTAGACAAGGTATGGACAGCTTCTAAATACATACTTTTCCAGCTGATACCAGCGATTGCCTGGATGTCCAAGTTCGCTTCCTTGGAGATGCTCGAATTGAGATCCTCCGGCGTCAAGCCATAGTCGCCAGGTCCACCCGCGATGGTGAGTTGGGGAAAGTCTTTTGCGCTTGAGACTGCTTCAGGTCGATACTTGGCAAGGAATAGCTCTGCGTCTGTCCGGATAGGATGCTCGCCGAGATAGTTGTTGAAGCCGATCTTGTTCTTGCCGCAAGCGTGGGTCTTATAGCCCTTGGTCGAGTAAAGAGTCTGGAAGCATTCTGGTGTGACGGAGCTGACGTTACAGACCGCGTTCAGGGTCTCATTGGTAGGGGGTGTATATTTGGGGTCAATATGCACCGGGGCCTCGATATGATCAAACTTCTCGGCTTGAGCGCGGAAGAATGAGTTAGTCGGCTGGATCGTATCGATCCGATCATGCAGATGAAGCGGAAGAGACCATTTAGGAGCCCGGGCGACGAGACCGCCATCCTTGTGCTCGTAAACATAGTACTCGGTGTCTAAGAGGCGTTCAATCATCCCCACTGGCAGAGACACCATTATCCAATCCTTGGCTGGGCTGTATCCCGAAGGGATGATGCCATTGGCCTCCAGCCACTCATGGACAAGATCTAGCGTCTCGTCCGTCGGCTTAACCAGCTCCTTCACCTCGTTAGCAGAAAGGTGCTGGCCGTAGCGGCTGTGGTCCGGATCAGAAACTAAGACGTATATGATTAGATACTTGCTTCTTATCCCGTAGCTACAAAAAGTTTATGCGGAGTGTCATTCCCCATACCTTCGTACAGATGCTTTTCCAGTTCCACGAAATTGCTCTGCTTGACACCGATGTGGAGATCAATGACATGATCGGCGGGCGCGCGACGAACTCGCTTCCAAGCCCTAGGTACATGATGCACATCCTTCACGCGGTAAGTCGTACGCGACCCCAGGAAGGGGGTTGCAATCGCGCCCTGGGCAGCGAGGAGCGCCGAAATGGCGAAGGTGAAGGCAACCATTGCTGCACACACTTCAACCTAGGATGACCTATTTACGTAGGTAGAGTCCAAAGGGATGGGGGCAAAGCGAGCAAGAAGGGCCAGGACAGCTATAAACTGGATCCTTGGAGGAGAAGCGGAAGCTCGCAGAACAGGTGCTTGGAGGTATAACTTTATATTAATCTATAACAGCACGCTATCGCGTCCCTACATCGTGTAAGCTGACAACGAACAAGGATTGTCAAAGCTGGAGAGCCAAGGTCGCGGTCCGCCCGCATTTCAATGCCCAATTGGAACCCTCGGTTACAACAAGCCGGAAATTACATTAGCTGCGCTGCGATATACAGGGTGGTATAAACAAGCAATTCTGTCTCTCTTGTCTCTTGTTTGTGTTCCTCGCATACAGATCCGTACTTACGCAATCTTCGACTTGGACGTTTCCGGAAGGTCGCTGCAGCTGGTTATCTGTACCCGAATGCGCGGGTCTAGATCAGTGCCCTGATCTCGTAAGATCCTACCTATCAATACGAACGTTCGATATTGATAAATGGTAGCAAAGTGTATTAAAGGGCTGGTTGACCATTAATGTTTATGACTGTCATGGTTAGTTTTCGTTGCTTCAAGTTATTGTTATAGTAGAGGTACTTTGCAATATGTTTTGTTTGTTAACAATACCTGGGTAGAATTACCATATAAAGGAATTATTGACCTTGGAGGCACCCATGGAAAACATTTCACAACTTGAGCAGACTAGGAACTTAGCCGTAACGTGTATACCAATAGCGCCATCTTTATTACAACTGACAGTTACATAGTATCATGTATCCATTACATATGTACCTGGTACTTAAGGTTGTCATTTAATTGATCAGAATTTACCAGCTTTTAATGAGCTAGGAACACGGGAAAGTTCAATGCCTCCTTTATTGAAATAAAAACTCGTTCTCATAAACGGCAAAAGGGGAGAAGGGAAACAAGCTCTTAAAGCCCGCTACAATACCCACAATGGCACCTGTCTAAATGGGCATAGAAAATTTAATACTAGTGATAAAACTAAACCGCGATAAGAAAAAACAATAGTTTAGGTATTTACTCTAACCTTATCTCAGACGCTCAGACCAGAATTCTTCTCTGTACCTCTCTAGCCACAATTATTTTTTAACTATTTTTGACCAATCATACATGAGAATAACCCTTACCTTACCCCACCCCTCAATTATTCAATGAACACTATTAATTAACCACCCCACAAGTACATTGGCACGAGCCATGTAGTTGTGGCGGTGGCGGAGGCGGGCGTAGCCCGCCGCTCAATGAATTCTGGTCTGAGCGTCTGAGATAACTCTAACCCGGCTGCCCGGTTCATTACTTCAAACTACCAATAATAAACAGAAAAAAAAAATGTTTACTTAAGTAAGAAATTCACAATAAGTATAATAACCTTTCGATTCAAAGATTACGCCGACATTATGCTACGGAGTTAGTTTTGCATAACGTTACGTTTTCTTCCTTTTTAAATGTATTTGTATATTTATTTATATAATAAACGTTTAATACCCACCGACTATTTCACAATATGGTTCACCAATACTTGACGTAAACTACCATTTAAATAAAGTCGTTGGAGCTTTCTATCGTGATTACCATTAAGTTCATGGTAGCCAGTTCTTATGTTTCGTAATTGTACATACTATTTGCCGTGATCGCTGCTGTTATTGGAAATATGGTAACCACAAAAAATGGCAGCTCTGGGAATCGAACCCAGGTTTACACGGTATTATCACAAGTTTTTTTTTATCGGCCACAACGTGTTGTACTAACCACTATACGAAGCCACCTTGGAGAATTTGCTTGTTTATTAATGCTTAAGTACCACGTGACAACAGCCCAAGTATTCTTAAGCGCCAGTGCATTACTGGTATCAAATTTATGTTATACTAATGGTAGTTGAAATATTACGTAAATCACCTTGTATTATTACTTCATGCTGTAAGTGAGTATCCTCTTGCCCATAACTTATTCTTTTATTTGCCGGAGACATGACCACCAATTCTCGTTCTGAACGATACTAACTTGTAGGTATTCCTTAATGTGCAATCAAGTAGGAGAGCAGGTAGCCAAAAACTTGACTAATAGCATGTTTGCGTATAAGTGTGCGAACACTAACCCCCAAAATTTCCAGAGCTCGTAACGAGGGATTGAAGCTCTCCTCTCTTTTATTATAAACCTCCCGCTTGAGGACACACCCTTATACCGCCCTAGGACTTACCTTAGCTATTGATGTCCCCTAACACACGTAGCCTTACCTATTTGAGACCTTGAATCATTATAGCTTCATCCATGAATATTATCATTAAAGCTTCTAAAGATAACGAAAGGAGCCCACTGTCATTATATAACTGACATGGGATAACGATTGCTTCTAGCATTTACCTAGGTATGCTATTCATAAAGTCTCCCGTTTGAAATTATCACCGGTCTCGTTTTTAGGTTAGTTAATGTTTTCCTACCCTTCCGAAACAAGACTTGATAAATCTTAGTTAATGATGCCCCATTATAGTACCCGTGCCACAGAGGTTTACCTAACTATCCAGTCTTTTGTAGATGCGCACCCGAGGGAAGGGATACATTCAAGGGAGATATACCTGAAATACCATGTACAAAAATAACTCTTGCATGTATACCGTGATCGAGTGCAGTCAGGTTTAGAGTTCCTCGTACAACTGCGTCGTTACATCCCCTACCATATGGACCTAGAGGTCTAAGTAGACTCAGGAACGAATGCCACACATTTGGTAATACTACACGGGAACATATTCTTTACCATTCTCGTAATACGTATTGCCTTTCAAATGATTTTAATCTACTTTGTCCTTAAGCTTGGTTTCTCGTCCCAAATAACCATTACGCTTGTGAAACATTATGGTACTCAGTACTTATTTGGACTATCATAAAAAACAAAACAGGAGATAATATTGGTGGAGTCTGATGACCAATGTATATACATGTATGTGTATATATGTGAGCTGATGAAAATTGTCTCAAATAAACTGTACTGGTAGCAGCTGAAAGCCTCCATAACGTAAATACGAGTATCATGTGTAATTAATGGAAATAAATTGTCAACGGGCACATACTGTATGCTGTATGTTTACAGTATAATTAAGCTCAGTGACAATTCGAATTGAACTAAACCACGTTAGTCATGAATATCGCAATACTGAAAAACAGAAGAGACATAATAATCTGAGAGTCTCGTAAAAATATGACTTATGTATGTATAACATAATGTAGGTTAAAGATTGCGTGAATGCGGTCCTCTGTAAAATCAGTATAATGTTACCATATTAAACGTGTGTTGATAATATGTAAAGGTGCTTGCAATAAGCCGCGTCAGTATATCAAACGGCCCTTTTGCTATCCTAGTGGTGTTGCTCACCTCCTAATCCTAGCCGCTATTGGGATTGCGCGGGATGGCTCGGTGGGATTTCTTAAACCATGCACTCGGTTCTTGTGTACAATTACTCCAACTGATACTCAGAAAAAGACGTAATTGAAATATCTATCTGATTGTTACGGTCAATTGACTAAACCACCCGTCTATCAACAACACCCCCAGTATACATATGAGACCCCTAACCCAAGCTTCCAACGTCATGCCACGGGATGAAACAAAACACCCTAGCATGGACTCATCACACCATCATCATTGTTGTCCTTTAAGCGGATTGGCCGTTGTTTGCCAGCAAATTGACAGTGCCGCTAGGTACGCCCGAGATAGCACCGGAGAGGGCACTCTTTGCAATAAAGTCGCATAGCGACGCCACGGGCGAGGCGTCGAGTCCCAGGTAGTAGGCACCGAGACCAGCAATGTGAGGTGATGCCATTGAAGTACCAGAGTTGACCTCCGTTGCTCCGCCAATCCAGGTCGATTTAATGTCTGTGCCAGGAGCGAGGATATCGACGACGCTGCCATAGTTGGAGTAATCAGCAATTGCATCCGTGTTGGTGGTGGCGCCAACTGTGCAAGCAGTCTTTTCCGAAGCAGGCGAGAAAGAAGCCGCATCCGTAGCGTCATTACCTGCGGCAACAGCAAGGAATAGACCAGCGCTGACAATGCTCGCTGCCGCCTCGTTCATAGCAGCCGAAGTGCCTCCGCCGAGTGACATGTTGACGACGACACCCTTGGGGCATGTCTGCTTAGCGGCATCAGTGACCACAAAGTCCATACCGGCAATGACACCAGAGCTATAAATATCCATTAGAAAATCAAAATTCTATAATCAAGCTGTCACAACTAAATTATTGGGGGGGGGGAAGGGGAAGGGGAAAAGGGGGGGGGATAACATACTTAGTGCCCGAGCCGTAAGCATCAAGGACCTTGACGCCGAAGAGTGAGGTCTTCTTAGCAACTCCATACGTCTTGGAGCCGATAGTTCCAGAAACATGGGTGCCATGTCCGTTGCCGTCGGTGTCATCGTTGTCGGCATAGTTAGCCAGCCACTTGGCGCGACCCTCGAATTCCTTCATGCAGTTAGCCCACCCGTCTTGTTTAGGGAAAAGTTGCATTCATAAATACCGGGTGGTCAACTTCGATGCCAGTGTCAACGATATAGGCACAGGTCCCCTCGCCAGCAGTATCATCGTATGTGTAGGTGGTGCTGCCAGCCTCCTGGCTCGACAGGCGTGCAAGGCCCCATTCTGCATTGTTTTGGGTGGCCTTGATACTGACGACCGCATCCTGCTCGATGTAATCGACCTTAAAAATAAATGTTAGGATGCTTGCAGACTCCAAAAGTGAACTCTATCTCTCTTTGAGCTTACATCGTTGTTGCTTTGCAAAGTCTGAATCTCCTCAGCCGACAGGCTAGAGGCGAAGCCCTTGAAACCATCGTGGTCGTAGACAAAGTCCGCATCACTAGCAATGGCCTGGATAGAGCTCTGGATGGAAGCGGCATTTGCATTGGCCTTCATCTTGACGATGTACTTGCCATCAACGAGCTGAACATCACGGGGCTTGATGACCGGGGCGAGAGTAGCCCTTCTCGAAGGTGCAGCAAGTGCCAGAGGCAACAAAGCGAGGGCGGTTGCTGTACGCATTTTCAAAGTTGGGATGAAGGTAACGGATCTGAAAATAGTCTTGAGGCGTTGTATAGAGTGAGGTCTACTCGGCGATGAAGCTGGCTGAATGTGAGATGGAGAGAGAAAGGATAGGCCACTGGTGGAAGATGCACCGGCCTTTTATAACACTCATAGCAGCCTCTCGGCGAGAGTAGTAGTAGTAGCATGCTGGTCGTTGAATTCGAGACCATGAAGCCATCGATGATAGCTGATCCTTACCAAAGTCAGTATTCAGTTGCTAGACAAGCTTGCCAGCGACCAGTAGCATGTGAACGACTCATGTGAAGTTGAAAGAGAATCATGTATGCATGGATAGGGTAAGGGACCCAAGTTGGCGACAGTATCCCCTGTCCAAACTAACCAATACGAAATGCACGACGAGTGCTGATCACAGCAACACCTCCTGCAAAGAGCTTGGTTAAGCTTAGCTCTCTCATTCGTTAGCGAACAGAGCTCGTCCTCGTCCCTTCAATGAGACTGTAGATTAATTAGGGGTGAATGGAGTTACTCCAACCTAGGAAAGTTCCTAGGTCACAACGGTCAAGACCCAGATATTCGGATTTGTTTACGTGCTGAGAAATTGGCTGCGTGACATATGCGCTGCTAAGGTGACCAATTACGATGGCGTAGTAGAGATGACCAAGCTTCGCCCAAGACAAGCCATGTACAGTAGACAGGTGCCAAGCGATAGCCAGACTCGAGTTAGGCCACTAGGGTGAGCTTGGTTGAGTTTGAGGGGAACAAAAACATAGAGAGCGTGCCGGTCATAGGTGACGACGGCCTTCCTTATCGGGAACCATTTCCCCTTCTCTCTCTGATTCTACTGTTATGTACTAGGCCGTCAACATCGCTAACCAACCAAGTGTTGTCGATACGGGTCAGGGATTGTTCGATATCTCCGAGAGACAGGGGATACTACATAGTATGTATGTATGTGATAATACACACACCAACCCTATTTTCACCACACCCGCAGATAGTGCGGGTTAGAAGGCATGGCAATGCCGCCAGACGACATACTATGCAGTACTAGTATAATGCCCCAGAATACGACACTATTCCCCCACATGATGTGAGCATACATAATGCAGAATGTGACTGTTTCATCATGTCCCTTCCCCTCGAGAAAATACAGCACCAAAACGGGCCTACAGCAGCAGCAGCAACATTTTCATGTCGGTGCTTTTGGCGATATTATAAGATCTCTGTAAATTGCAGTAATTGGGGTTGAATTTTGAAGCCCTTCTTTCTTTGTCATCGTCCCCCACATCTCCGAACCCCCCACCGCCCCCTGGCCACCATCACGATCCATATCCCCCGATCCCCTGCTCGTCGACCCATTATCAACCCCTGTCTAGTGAACGCCAAGTGCCGGCGGCGGTCAGCACACTTAGTACCTAGTGTCTGGAATGGCTGTCGTGATAGTCGATCAATTTCCCGCCTAGGCAGCAAGATCTATCCGATGGAAGTCGGACTAGCTTAACAATGTTTTTCCTCGCCCGGCCGAATTGCAAATCTCCCAGATACGGCAAGTATACAACATTAACTTACTTACTACGGCAGGCCGATTCGCCCGAGGCACGGCGTTATTCCGGAACCCGCCATTGCGACAAATCGTATCTATACTATTCTTCTCTTTCAGGCAGATGTATAAATTCTACAATCGCTTTGCGGCTCGGCGCAGTGTCTTGGTATGATCGGTATGATGCGCTTAACC